GGAGCCACAGCCCCCCTTAGAGCCTCCACAGGAGCCACAGCCCCCTTTGCCACAGCTGGAGCAGGAATAGGCTGGCACACAGCAGCACACGGGCTTGCAGCAGCAGACGGGCACACAGCAGCTGGAGCCGCAGCCCCCACAGCTGGAGCCACAGCCCGCACAGCTGGAGTTGCAGCCTCTGGAACAGCCACAGCAGCCCATGGTTCTGGTGGTTGAGGGTGGAGCGGGTCTGAGGAGCAGGTGGAGAAGGAGATGTTCAAGTGTGGAGCCTCCTGGGCCTGGGCCCTTTATACCCCTGCTCAGGGTCAGGGTGAGGCTGGGCATGTGGTCACTTCCTGGTTCCTGTTTGTGTCCTGGTCTGGGGAACCTCGTCTGCACTTTACTGTCTGTGACTCCTGTTTTCACTGTGATTTCCTCGAAGGCACTGTCAGGTCTATCATGGAACGTTGCGCATTAGCTGGTGACTTCACCTTTCCATTGCCGTGGTAAGGAAGCACAGAGATGGCCGTGAGTCACTCAGAGACCTGACCCTGACAATTGATTTTGACCCCATGGCTCCTGGATTGTCCCACGTGTGCCATCTTTTGGAGCCACATCTCTCATTTGGGAAGAGCCTCTGCCCTGTGTCTTCATTATCTGCAGAACCTCCTGGCCAGGGGACTATTCCTGAAGCTCCCTGGACCAGCAGCATCAGCTCTGGGATCTTCAGGGTCCTTGTCTGTGTCAGACTTTGCTAGAAGGTTTTGAGTACTGGCTGAGACCGTGGACGTAAACTGCTCATCCCCAGACTTTGCAGCTTGTGTGCTCCAATGACAACAGACACGGCAGACACTGTAGAAAGCCCCTGGACAGCATGACGACTTGCCAGAGTTAAAATAGTACCTGTGAGTGCCCCCAGCCCAGCCTAGCAGGTGTCAGGAAGCGATTTAGACTATCTCCCGTGTGGCACATTGGAGCCCCCCTCCTTCTGCCCTGGGGCAGGGGACAGTGAGTTTCCCGGGGGTTGGATTTCAGGGAGGGACAGGCTCATCCCCGGGGCAGTCATGTGTGGCCAGGGACAGCCCTTCCTACAGCCCCGCCCCTCCAGAGTTACATACAGATACATTTGTACCCAAGTGCTTGAAATAATTCATTAGACACTGCAGGTCTCTCCCCAGGGTGTCTGGGAATTGTTTTTTACTTTGGGGACATTTCCTTGTGTGGGCCTTTGCTGTTCTCAGTCCTCTGATTCCCTGCAGGTTCAGCGAGCCGGGCAAAGTGGGTCTGAGGACTAAATAGGTAAGGAGGGACTCCTGAGATGCTCCAACTGCACTGTCAACACGGCAGTGGTCTCGGCCCCTCCTGCTGGCGACGTCCACCAACAAGCAGTTTTGGAGCACACACCCCAGAAACAGGTGTATTTGTATAATGTATGTATGTGTCTATCTAGTCACTTGTCACAGATTAGTTAATTCTTCATCTTTTTAGCTGAAAACGCACATAAATATGTTTTAATATTTTCTCCTTTGCTTCACTTTGGGGACCTCTGTGTAGACCCATTAATTCCTACTTGTGGTTCCTACACTCCTCTTTGCAATTATACTGAGCCTCTCCTTAGACAACTCTACATAGATGCTCATAGACACAAAATTTTGCATAAAATTTCGAAGTATTCTTATAGAACCTGATGTCCACCATGGTTTACAGACTCCAGATTAAGAACCCAAAGAACAGGAGGCTCCAAGCGAGGGAGGGCTGGAACTGTCTTTCCTAGTATTTACTGTGGGCTTACATAAAACGTGGTGGACTGAGCACTCGGGCTTCACTCCCCTGCCACCTGACACCACAATAAAATAAGAGAAAGGCCCAAGGGCTGTGTGTGTGTGTGTGTGTGTGTGTGTGTATGTATGTGTGTGTGTATAAATAAATGGTAAAATGCTACCTGATTTAGCTGAGCAAGAAAAGTCACCATCAAAGGCCTGCAGAGACAGCTACAGATGAGAAAATCAATATATCAATAGCAGTGATTGGCTTGCCATGAGAACAGACAGACATTGATGGAATGTGACTCTTTCTCTCTCTGCTCACATCCCTTCTGGGTAAAGTCAGATGCATGTCAGAAGCAGCCCTGTGGAGAGGCCCACGTGGTGGGAACTGAGGCCTCCTGCCCCAGCTATGGGAGGGCACCATCTTGGGATTAGATTCTCCAGCCCCAATCACACCACAGGTGATGCAGCCCATGTGACGCAGCCCAAGTGACGTAGCCCAGGTGACGTAGCCCAGGTGACAGAGCCCAAAGTGACATCCTGACTAGAACCTCAGGGGAGACCCTGAGCCAGGACCACCTAGGAAAACTTAGAGCTTGACAGAAAGATTGACGACAAAGTCAGCATTCAAATGAAGAATGTTGAAAAAGCAGCACAGACTAAAATCAAGGCAATAAGAAGGAAAAAGAACAAAAATAGCAGAAGGAAAGTTGTCTGGAAAAAAATGTTTGAGACAGGCGATCTCTGAAAAACTGAGCATTAAGAATGAAGCAAGATAGAGGTAAAAAAGAAAAAGATTAAAAAATGACGAAAAGGAAAATAAAATATAAGAAATTAAAAATTAAGAAAAGATATAGATAAAATTCAAACTGAGGAAGGTTAAATAATCCAGATACGACAGATTTTTCAAAAGCAATATTGGGAACAACTTTTGCTAGTAAATTCGAAAACTAGAAGAAATGGATGCATTTCTGGAAAAAGACATGAAATCATAAAATTCACACAAAACGATAGTGAAAACTTGAATAAACCAGTAACCATTAAAGACATTGAGATGATCACCAGAAAACTGAAGCCCCCTAAAGTCCCAGAGCCAGAAGATTTTATAGAAGAGGCTAACAGAGGTTCCACTCTGACTTAAATTTTAGGAATAAAACAAAAGGGAAAGCTGAGAAGGTTTTACCATGAAGCTAATGTAACTCTCATTTCAAAATCAGGTCAGGACTGTAAAACAACAACAAAAAAAATGATAACAAAAATATACAATTTCTAAATCAAATATTAGAAGAATCCAGTATGCTTATTAAAAAATAACACATCACAATCAAGTGGGGCCGACTCCAAGAATATTAGCCCGGTTTACTGTCAGAAACTATATTATCGTAACTCATCACAAAGATGGCTTGAGGGGGAGAAGAGTTTAAACGATCATCTCAGCAGATGTAGCCAAAATGTTTGATGGATTAGCGATGACATTCCTGCCCAGAAGCTGAGGAACAGAACAATCTTCCTAAGTTGGTATAAGCTATCAAATCCCTATAGCAAATATCATGCTTAACTAAGACATCTTAGACGCATTTCCCTAGAAATTTATAGGTTACATCAAGACACATCACCACTGTAGGAAAAGACAAATCAGTCCTTGCCGATGACACGTTCATCTGCAAAGAAAAACAATCAGAATCGACAGAGATAACATTAGAAAAAGAGAAGTCAGCAAGGTTGCAGAATGCCAGGTCAATATCCAAAAATCGATACTACTGTATATCAGATGCAAAGAAAAACAATCAGAATCGACAGAGATAACATTAGAAAAAGAGAAGTCAGCAAGGTTACAGAATGCCAGGTCAATATCCAAAAATCGATACTACTGTATATCAGGAACTAGAAAATGAGGTAACAGTTACGAAAGAAGGATCGGCCAGTTAGGAACGCTTCTCATCGTGACAAGACCTTTAGTAAACTACTCAGCGCTGTAAACCCTTCACTGGTACAACTTAGCATGTTAGAGACATTGTTCCAGACACGGTGGCGGGAACTTGGTACGTGATACAGGGAGCTCACAAACCAGTGATCACGACTATAGGAAAATATCATGTACATGGCATTTCCTGAGTCAGGAATTCTTCTAAATACTTTTTATATGTTGCATCATTTAATGAATATCGCACAGCACACCTCTGAGACAGGTGCTATCATTAAGCCTGTTCTACAGAGGAGAAGACCATGGCA